CGAAGCAGATCGACTGGGGATCATCCTTGATCTTCAGGAACGCAGTCACTCTCACTCTACGCCTTCCCTCATTGTACTGCTGATGAATATTGCGAGAGATTGGTGCACCGAGAATATTTTCTCTTTGCTCCTCGGTCATTGATGGATTCTCTCCTCGGCCAAGCCCAGGTTGATCCCCAGAATGGCTAATATTCTTCTTCCTGCCAAAAATCAAGATAATTGAGCGAGCTGGGCCAATTCCTGTGCTTCAATAATTTCGTCCAGCGTATTGAGCACGCCTAATTGACCTAGGCATTCTGTGCTAGCAGTGCTAGGAATACCAAGCACCCTTTTGATGCTTTTGAGAATGAGGTTGTTAAGGCTGTTTTTCTCGAAGTTGTGCCAGTTGTACATGTTCGTTACCTAGATGATTCGGCTCATGAGGAAAGCACGGAACATTCGGAATAAATTGTCTTCCTCTTCAATTCGACACTCTGGTAATGAGTGCGATGACCATTTCCGTCTTCTTGGTAATGTTGATTCGATTCATTGGATTCGATAACCATGCCAAACATGCGTGTGGAATCGACTTTAGGTATGAAGTTTTCGTTTCATGAAGTTTGCTTAATGTCGACATCTGTGAGTGGCTTCCATCCCCCGGGCCTGGGACTTCGTGAGATCGGTTTATAGAGGAGCAACTCGGATTTCTAGGAAAACGTTTTAGTTCCATGCTTTCCAGGTAGGATTCAACCTCATTGACTGCTGATTAAAGACACGCCTCAACATCTCCCTCACATCCCTAGGTGCACCATATAGTTACGTCATCTGCTTAGATAGTGTGACTACTATAGCAGAGCATCTTTGAGGAACCTGTCATTGCTATGTTAAATAATAGCGCTGAAACAATCACTCCCTCCGGTGTGCCTCTATAGTCGAAAAACCTGGTAAACTTATGATGTGTACACAACTGCTACACTTATGAAACAGATTGATGCACTTCGCAACGCTTGGTTAAAAGCCGAAAAAAAAACCGCAGTATTACTTGCTTACTACTTCGCATGACACCAAGTCTGACAAGGCAAGGGATCCCCCGATTTTTTTTTTCACCAAGCACGAGAGGTGTTTTAGGGCTCATTTAGGCGTGCGAAGTTGTTTACTCTATACACACCACGTGTATTCGAATTCGCTATTCTAAAAACAATGTGATCATGTTATGGCGTGTTCTGGAGGGATTTCACGGAGCAGATGTGGTGTACTTCTCGCAGATGATCTTATCGCTCAAGGCAAATCAAACTTCTTTGACTTCGTGTACATTGACGCCGACAAAAAGTCCACAGAGGCCTACTACGAGAAGAGCCTGAAGCTTGTTAGGCACCACGGAATCATCGCTGTCGACAATGTGAGTCGCCTGTCACCGTGACGTGTGCCCTTGAGGGCATGTGACGCATAGATACAATTTGGGACAGATTTTTTGTATTAACGATGTACCATAGCATTGCGTCTCATTATGTATGAAAATATCAATGTTAAGTTTGTTGTCTATTATTGACAAGACAGTAAATAAACACACTTCTACATAGTATGAGCGCACTGACTGCTGTGTCAATTATGGAAGCTACCTGTTTTACAGGCCCTTACACACTGAACAAAGTATGTAATTTTTAAGGCTGTAAGGGCCAAACTAAGTGACCTCTCAAGTGATAAATATGGCAGTTGAATGTGGTAGTATGAAAACGCCACTCTACCTACGTCACCCTTGAAGCCTTGCAGTAAACGTTACAGATAACATAAGTTTGTGACGCTATCGTGGTGTCATCGTGACATCACGTGTTGAAGTCATCACATTGCTTTGTCGCTGGGTCGATGAGGTGCAAAACATTTGACATCGGCTGATAACGTGTTCGTGGTTGTACGCGAGTCTTTCACGCTGTAGCTCGTTGTAAAAAATTTACTTATTGAGCTGACATTGACCTTCCAATCATGAATTTTCTGCGCGCTACTACTATGTATTCCGGCACATCTAATAATATATGCTGGAGGAGCGTTTTTACGCTGTGCATGTCATGCACAAAACTTCAACACTTATGTCAAACAATTTTTGTAGCACTTCTCCTTTGGCTGACTATAGGTAAATACTTCTATGTTTTTCTAAGTGTGTATTCTATGTATGTATTCACAATTTCAGTGCAACTAGCAAAAAACAATTTTCAGCGTGGTTAGAAAAGAATTAAGCACCAAAAACAACATCTTAAAGTACACTTAATGACTGCATTGTTTTCTCCGGGAGTTTACGGTCCTTTCGGCAAAATTCGTGAAGTCAGTGGTCCGTCCACGTCATGTCACGGCGAAATAAGCTATCGGTTGATCAACAAACGTCTGTTATAAGTTGTGGATTGTCTCCTACCCAGCTTTGCCATTCAATCTACAGCCCGCTCTGTTTTGCCTTGAATTACTTTCGAACATGGTCGAATGACTATCGAGCACGGAGAAGATAGCACTTGTAGGAAGTGTAGTGAAGGCGAGAAAAGAAATCTCTCACCCGTTGTTGAACTCTAAGTGGTTTAAGGGTTCTTTCGGATGCATCATCTAACAAGCGTGTTGTGCAGCCGTCTCATGGTTCACGCTTTATGCAGGTGTTTTTGAAAGCGAGAGCATTCAGCCCGGAGTACAACGACCCCGTCACGGAGTCCGTGCGAACCGCAAGATGGCGTCCGACGACCGCGTCGAGATCAGCGTGCTCAGTGCACCGTGAGCGATGGAGTCACGTTATAGTCTTCAAAAAAATGGCAGCATATGTACGGAGTGAATGATGGATAGTGGGGCGAAGCATCCATCCGTAATTTCGTTCTTGCTTCCGTCCATCCATGCGTGCGTCTGCGTGGCCGCCCGTGCGTCCATCCGCCCATCCGTGTATACGTCTGCTCGTGTGTCCGCACGTCCATCTGTGCGTTCGTCCCTGCTTTCGTCCATGCATCCGCTTCTTCGTCCGTCCATGCGTCCATCCGTCCGTGCAGCCATCCGTGCATCCGTGCATACATCTGTCTGTGTGTCCGTTCGTCCACCTATTCAACATTCCAAGTACCACCATTTCGCATGTTTTCATCATATATTCCTCATATAAAAGCACCGCCATCCAGCGGACATTCCTAAGACAAAACGAGAGGAGGCACACACACACTTTTTTACGGCTTGCACTCGTGTCTACTTCCCACCTTTAACCACCTCGAGTTCATGGTATATACTAGTTCAGTGTATTCATGGCGCTGTGGCCCAACGCTCGCTAAACCTTTCTAAAACCTAGGAGGTTACGCCCAGCGAGTATAACGTAGCAACCCTTTCTTGTATTCTGTGCGTTGTTGAACAATAAAAAATTCGCAGCGTGCGCGTTAACTAAAAGCAGAGTTCTCCTGTCTCTCATTCCCCTTTAGCAGCCATTGGCATGTACATTGAGCATTATCTTTTATTGTTCAACAACGCACAGAAGAAATCTGTCGCTGGCACCACCTTGAAGGTCAAAATGTTATACTTGTTACACCCTACTACAACGGCTACGAGGGACGAACAGGTGCCGCTATAAGGAGCTTCGCCCCTAAAAGTGAACCCCATCGTCGAACATCTTTGGCGATTGTCGCTGGTGGCTTTTGCCTATAGACGGTTTCAAGGTCACAAGCGTTGTACTCTAGAAAACTTCCGGTCACCTCATTTACCAGCTCTTAACCTCGAAACGGAAAGCATGTTTTCAAGTTCCTTTTAAATGTAAGAAATACCTCGCCTTAGCTTTTCAGATAAAAGGAACGTGCGTAAAGTTCAAAGTAATCTCTTCTAATTTTTAGTAGGCCCGTGTGCTCAGATTTGCGTGCACGTTAATGAACCCCAGGTGGTCAAAATTTCCGGAGCCCGCCACTACGGCGTCTCCCATCATATGGTGGTTTTCGCACATTAAACCCCACATATCAATCATCAATCTTGTAATTTTTATGTAGCTGAAAAAAAGATTTATTCATATATTTTGCCCAATAAGGGTAAGAAAGTGTAGAAAATCAGTGGGCTATTTTCTAAAACTCTTCTTGCCCACCGATGCTATTATGGCAGATCGGTGAACCAAACCGGATGTCATCAAGGGGCTATGTTTGGAAACAGTGACGTGAAAACCGTCTGCAATAAAGGTTATGATGAAAAATTGTCCATCAATTCTCGCAAATACCCTGTCACCTTTATGATCGACGTGACATATGTTTATCTGTAAGCAATCGATGTTGAGTGCTGTGTGTTCCTTATAAGCGTCTTTTATTGTCTACACTCGCCAAATAATGAAGCGCCTTCTGGTGCGCCATGGAGCACCTCCCATGATGCTTTATCTTCCAGAGCTGTCGTACTCGCACGCTAAGTTCATTTGCTTTACACTTAGCCTAAATATGCATATACGCCACTGCGACATTCGTTGCAGCATCCGAAAGTGCCGAAGAGAACGTGCGGTTGGCGTCATGAGTCATCAGCACCAAGTGCCACAAAGTGTACCTACGCGAACGCTGCAAGATCTTCGTACGAAACCTGGAGGACTGCGTTGTTAAACTTTAGCATTCGTGTTCCCAAAACACTCTTATACCTATAGGTGCTGTTCTTAACTACAGTGCTAGCTCGAAGCACACGTGTATACATGTCTTTATGAAGCTGCTGCTAAAACCGTCTTGCTTGACAAAAAAAAAAAGAATGGCCACAAAAAGCAAGACAGACAAAAGCAACAAAGAAAACAATATTCAATGCCTATTGCAATGGGGCCTTACAAAACGATGGCCCAGTAAACTGCAAAAACGATCAATGGTGCCACTGAAACATTTTTTAAACAAATAAATGTTTTTTTTTACCTCGCCGTTAAGGATCGTGTAGATGAATCTATTACTGCCCTTCTCTCTTGAAGAACTGTGATATGATTGATTCTGAGGAACGTGGTGGTTAGGGACGGCAGAATAATTTCAAATTCTTAGGTTTTCTTTTTCAACTACACGTAAATCACAGCACACTTCAGGAATTGGAGAAACGTTTATTCATTAAAATTCGGCCGCCATTTTCAGGAAATGAGTCACTGACCTTGTGCTTAGCAGCACAACGCCATAGATTCTACACACAATTGCGGCGGGTGTAGTTGCGATGGACTACACTTGTGGCCCCGGCCAGTATCACAGCGGTGATAAACTGTTCGCGAACACCGCTTCTCTTGTACTACGTATTATATAATTGGCGTCGACGCTCGTTCGCCAGCTTCGCGCATTTCACTTCTTCAGCACGAATGTGACGCCGTCCGCCACGGTGACCAAGCTGATCTGAACGCGATCGTCCGTCGCCATCTTGCGATTCAGCCGCCGGATGGCGTCTGTCTCAGGATCGTTGACTGTTGGATTGAACACTTTCGTGTGCCACAGAACCTGCGTACGCAATCACGCAGAATGTAGTATTCATACAGTGACACAAAGGATCATGCCTTGAGCCACCAAACACGCGCACCACTATCGTTCTTTGGTCCACACGCCTAGCCGCTGCTGTCTAATTTTGAAAAAAAAAATTAGAATGAAGACAGCGTGTTGAGGTATTTCATGCACTTTGATGTAGAAAAGAGCATGTGCCGGTCACACACTTGAATAGTGATCTTTTTCTCAATTCAAGTTTCGTAAGGGGTCCTTCTGCTCCATGAAAAAGGATTTTACTTCAACTCTGCATCAGAGGCGCTATAGTAACAGTAGATTTGAATGGTCGTTTTCAAGTGCTCCAGAGTGTTATTGCCACGCACGTCGCGAATAGCTGATGCAAGTAATAGGCTCTAGATACGTTCAGCTGGCTATCTCGGAGCACCACGCACCGACTCGGGGTGCTCTGAGGTGGCCTCTCTTCGACCTCGGAGAGGCGCCGAAATTTGATCACGGTGAGAATATGCGTTGGCGTGCTTTCTATTCCGGCCTCCGACTGCATGCTCTGCCGAGCGGCTGCACGTTCGGCTAGGACACGCGTTGCACTGGCTCGAATCAAGAGCGGGCTCTGCATTGTCGAAATCCGAGTGAGAGTGTGGTGGCGCCCAGCCGAACGTAACCGCAAGAGTGCGAAATCATTGGCGCACTTTGTTCGAACCGTCTGTCGGCTCGTGGCATGAAGGCGACAAGCAACTCACATTGTCAACGGCGATGATGCCGTTGCGCCTCACGAGCAGCAGACTCTTCTCGTAGTAATCGTCGACGGAGTTCTTGTCGGCATCGATGAAAATGAAATCGAAAGAGTTTGATCTGCCCTGGGCGATCAGATCGTCTGCAAGTCGGGAAAAAACCGTGCGATTGAAAATCGTGTTGCGTGACTCTACAAGGGTTGCCTGCAACATGCACAAACACGCTCTACCTGCCTGACAAATAACGACACCGACAGTCCGCGAGCGTTTCTCAACCTTGTCGAGCTGTTGTAATGGCATTATGCGCCTTAAAGTGTGATTCAACGGGGGCAAACAAGGCATGCCTTCTAGTTTACAACTCGTCGCACATAAGCTATGACCGTACCCATTGGCTTGGGCTTCACCAGTTAATGTTAGGCTGCCGTTTTATATCTTGACATAATTTCAGGTACGGAACAACAAAGCTGAATAATTAACCTAAACATTATGACAATAAACAGGAAATTATGGCCCCTCATGCGTATATTAGAAGCGGAGCACAATTGTGGTATCCTTCAATTAGTAAATCTATAGTGTCAATGCTAATAACGTAACGGTTAGACGACAACGCTCCAGCTTAGAGTAAAAGCGCCAAGTGTCTTAAAGATCTGCCTGGCACGAGTGAGAGAGTGAGTGAGTGAGGAGTGAGTGAGTGAATGTAAAGCCTTTTTTAATCACGCACAGGAGTCATGTACCACTCCTATATCCTTAGGGCTCTATATAGTGACCTCTTCACCCTCGTGAGCGACCTGTACCTTGTCACCTACAGTGGTATGGGTCGGAGCTGAGCGAGGCGGCCTCACTGTGCTCAGGACTATTTTGCTCACACGACTCGGTCGGCGGGCGAGCCGGGAGTGCCAAATTTATGTGCAGTGGCTTTGATACACGTAGACGTGTATATTGCACGTGCGGCTTGCACACATGGGTGTGTGCGTGTGAGTAAAACGGAGGAATATAGAAATGCCTAAAGTTGCCTCCAAGCGACATCATCCCCCTCCCTCTTTATTTGGGTGTTCAGATTTTTTTAGAAAAGCATCAGCGTTGAGGGAAAACGGTAAACGCCTGAACGCTCTAGCTTGTTTACAGAGCATTTTCAAAGGTGAACTTTTGTACTTCATTAAGAACACTCCTGATGTGTACATTTGTTACAGCGTGTCATTAGAATGCGCTGGTAGGTTTCTAAGGAAACGCTTAAAGGGAAAACCTGTGCCCATACGAAGTCCATCGGCTTGCTAAAGAAATGCAATTCTCATTCAAAAGAGCATTTAAAAGCACTCAAAAGCATTTATAAGGACTTGCCTAAGGACTTCTTTGCGTCGCCAATAATAATGTCTATCTTCTCGTCGACGCCAGCCTGCAAGAAAAATAAGCGTTCTTCAGCACATCTCTTGATTGTGTGTACGGACCAGACATGCGTTGCTTAAGAACTGTGCACTTAGAATCTCAATACACATCAGTATTGCCATTATTCCAACCACGTCAAAACTGGGGCAATTTATTAAAGGAGAAAGTACACTTGGCGTGAAATGGCATTGCGATCGCTGTGAAATACAGAGGACGAACTGCAGTGAAGCTTCAAATATGTAGTAAGAATGGCACAAAGAAAAGTGCGAAATAATCAGGGCTTTTGAAGAAGGCTCTTATGGCAGCTTCCCCCAGTTTTGCCTGTTATGACTGTTGTGTAGACGAACAAAATAGACTGCTCTAAAATTATTTTTGGTAAACTTGGTTGATACACAAAGCGTCTCAGTGCGATGATTATTTTTATAGCCGTTCTTATGTGCGTGCGTGCACCAGTTGGTGCAAATAAGTTCCGACAAAACAGTGATCCCTCGAAAAACGCATGCAACTATTGTAGTATGCGGCACATTAGCTTTCACAATGGCTTCCCTTCTCTGATAGTTGAAATGAAGACAAAAATAGCTTCTATGCAATTTCTGTATGAAGGAGAAAGTTCGTCTTTTGGCATAGGTATTACTGCTTTCGTTCAGGAGAATGTGTGGTTGAAAAAAGAAAAGTATTTAGAACGAATACAGCTCAAGGAACAAAATCGGAAAGAGTTACAGAACCTTTCTTGCCTCGTTTATTGCGCTTCGTTAGGCTCTGCGCAAATTCTTGTAACGTTCGTCAAGCAATTGAGGAGGTGAACTACGCACAAAAATTCCCTGTATTTAAAGATGAGGAATGGGTGTGGCCAATGTCTGGTCGCACTGCCTCTCTACATACATACATACATACATACATACATACATACATACATACATACATACTACATACATACATACATACATACATACATACATAATACATACATACATACATACATACATACATACATACATACAACATACATACATACATACATACATACATACATACAGACATACATACATACATACATACATACATACATACATACATACATACATACATACATACATACATACAGTACATACATACATACATACATACATACGTACGTACGTGCGTGCGTGCGTGCGTGACCACCCCGCCACGGGGGTCTTGTAGCTAAGGTACTCGGGGCTGACTAGCGGGGTCGAATCCTGGCTGCGGCGGCTGCATTTCCGATGGCGGTGGAAATGTTGTAGGGCCGTGTGCTCAGATTTCGGTGCACGTTGAACAACACCAGGTGGTCTAAATTTCCGGAGCCCTACACTACGGCGTTTCTCATGATCATATGGTTGTTTTGGGACATTAAACTCCACATATCAGTCATCAAAAAAAAAACATGCGTGCGTGACCATAAGTTATGCCGTTATATCCGATATTCGATGAAAAACGAGCGATAAATGGCGCATATAAAAATCGCACTCTGGCTCTCGAAAAATACCATATAAAAAACGCATGATTTAGACTTAAAATATGTTATGAACAGCTTAACCCCTATAGGCTTCCTTGTGGGGTTCCAAATTTTGATTCCTATATTGTGGCAGTGCAACCAGTCAAACGTAATTTTTATTTGCGATAGATGGCAAATATTGCCGCATTTTTTTCCAGCGATTGCACCAAATGTGCTCGGGAACTGTCTTGCAATGTTTATCTTGCTTTCTATACCTTTCAAGCTTTTAGACTTGCATTAACCAAATATATTTTCTTTACAACCAAAGTCGATTCTGCCCTCGAGCATTCAGTTTCGTCATCGAAAGACGAAATGTCAGTAAAGTGAATTGTGACTATTCAAAGTTGTTATTTACCTCGCTCTAATGCATTGTTCCTATATCAGCGTTAATGATAACGAGGTTCAACTGCACTTCGGTACTCATTCAAAGGGTACGACCATACGAAGGACGACGTGCTTACTGCAAACGTTCTGGCCGTGGTCCTTGGCAAAGGCTTGGCCCGGCCGAAACGCGAGGAAATTGAGGGAAAGGAGAAACAAGAAACCATTGCGCAGAACCATATACCCTGAATGAACTGATTGAACCTATCGAAGAGTCTCGCGTACCTCTTTCCAGAATGGCCTCCCGACGTTAACGGTCTCCGCGTTGACCTCCAGTCCAGTGACACGGCCCTCTGGTGGTAGAGCCAGGGCGGCCGCTAGCGTGCTCACACCAGTGAAAACACCTGTATAGTAAACAAGTCACGAATATAGAGCCTTACTTTAGTGAATAGCACTGTCAACTGTGGGAGAGGTCGCAGTTATGCCGGCACTGGTTTCCTATCAGTAGTGTATGCCCTGTTTAGTCTTATCTTTCCGAGAGTGTCCATGTTCTTTGAATAGAGCTATAGCGGCACAGAGATGTAGACAGGAAAGCTGTAAGCTTGCATATGCTTCTCATGCAGGTTGTAAACTAGTTCTCTCCGGTATTTAAAGTCTAAAGTTATTCCTCTGAAAAATTCAAGGCTGTATTCCTTTATAGTTTGAAATTCCGGTGCCCAAAGAACACGGACGAGTCCTCATAGTTACGAAAAACCAACTTACGTATACCTGAATACCGAATGAAAAAGTAGTAAGTAATTGAAAGTTGGCACCTGATTGTATAGTCAGTTTCGACGCAAGAACAAATGTGCGCCTCGACCACGGCTGTCGCTGTCAGAGTGAATTCGCATAATCATGTCGCATTCGGTTATTTCTGTGACGTCAAACACCTTTCGCGTGTTTCAGGTTGGTGATTTTTTCATAAAGAGGCAGGTTCCTGTCGCAGGCTTTCGGTCAAGAACTTGCACTTTCTCGCGAACTTGAGCGAGGATTTCGAGATGACTGCTTAGCCCAGCGTCATCGGCTAAGTACGGACAACGAACCTTCAATGCCCAATATTCGCAGTATTTACTTTAAAGCGGAAAAAGTTCCATGATGAGGACGAGAATCACCTAACACAACCATTTAGCATAGATGAATGGCAAACGTGCTTCAGTTCTGAAGGTTGACTTCGAATGAACTGTGGTACAACGGGACAAATAAGGAAAAAACAGGATCAAGCGCTGACTGACAACAACGAGTTTCGATTTAGCCGCAGCGGGATATATACTTTCGGAAAAAAAAAGTATTGTCAGCCAGAACTTGGTCCTGTCCCATCGTTATCTGTCCTATTGCAGCGCTGTTTATCCGAAATTCAGTACGTAAGTTCGTCTGCGGTTGAAGCTCGCATACTTAAGTAGCAACCGACCTATATATAATAGATCAAGCAATCTCCGGTTCGACAGCCTAATGCTTTCACAATATGCGAATGTCATGGAACTCACCGATTTCCAGGTAATGCTTCGCTCCAGTGGCTTTGAGGAGGATGTCGAAAAGTTGAAGCTCTGCCGTGTCGCTCATCATTCCAGGATATCGCTGTTGCTGGGTTTCCTTTAAAGATGAAGACATACAAAAGGAATGGGTGATGTGAACATAAAGGAAAAACGGCACCGAAATTGTAAAGTCATCAGACTGGTATTTACTGGGACGTGTCTTATTGTAATTATGAACAGCCATTGTAGCGTAGTGGCATAGGAATTATGCAGCTGATATCGAGGACGTGGGTGCGATTCCCGTCCGAGGCGGCTGGATTTTGATGAGGTGAAATTGGCGCAAAAAAAGAAACTGCGAACACCAACTTCGGTGAACTTTAAACCCCAGGTGGTCGTTCGAGTCGGTCGGGAGTACCTCTCCCTCTCTACGACACTTTTCATGTTCATATTGTTAGTGGTGCGCGCATGCACGCACGCATGCACGCACGCACGCACGCACACACACACACTAACACACACACACACACACTAACACCCGCGTGTGCGCGGGTGCGCGCAATTTTTTTAAAGAGGGTAGTCTTTCTTGGGGATCTTCGACGCAAAAACTTTGTTCTGTCTGTCTGTACATTTGACTGTTTGTCCACTCTTAACAGCACCGGGTATTAGAAACGGCCGACCCTATCCGCAGCGCCCACCAATGTTGCTCAAGGTTGAGCGTTCATACTTGTGCAATTGTAAATTAAAAAGCAATTATTGCGCATGTCTGGGGCACCATAACAACAAAAATATATTCTACATGTGCGTCTTTTACTAGAAAAAGCATACATAAGTAGTTTTAAGGACCGTAGCGTTTATCACGCAGCGCTGACCTTGCAACGCTTGCACGAAAAGGCGAGTGTTTCTAACGCTTTGCTAAGTGCTAAGACAAAACAATGGTAACGTGTGCGCGCGCGCGTGTGTGTGCGCGTGTGCGTGTGCGCGCGTGCGTGTGCGTGGGCGTGTGTGCGTGTGCGTGTGTGTGCGTGCTGTGTGTATGTGCGTGTGCGTGTGTGTGCGTGTGCGTGTGTGTGCGTGTGCGTGCGTGCGTGTGCGTGCGTGTGTGTGTGTGCGTGTGCGTGTGTGTGTGCGTGTGTGTGCGCGCGCGCGCGTGTGTGTGTGTGTGCGTGTGTGTGTGTGTATGTGTGTGCGTGCGTGTGCGTGTGTGTGTGCGTGTGTGTGTGTATGCGTGTGTGTGCGTGTGTGTGTGTGCTGTGTGTGTGCGTGTGTGTGTGTGCGTGTGCGTGTGTGTGTGTGCGTGTGCGTGTGTGTGTGTGCGTGTGCGGTGTGTGTGCGTGTGCGTGTGTGTGTGCGTGGGCGTGCGTGTGTGTGTGTGCGTGTGCGTGTGTGCGTGCGTGTGTGTGTGTGCGCTGCGTGTGGTGGCGTGTGGTGTGTGTGCGCGTGTGCGTGTGTGTGTGCGTGTGCGTGTGTGTGTGCGTGTGCGTGTGTGTTGTGTGTGTGTGTGTGTGTGCGTGTGTGTGTGTGTGCGTGTGTGTGTGGTGTTGCGTGTGTGTGCGTGTGCGTGTGTGTGTGCGTGTGTGCGTGTGCGTGTGTGTGCGTGTGTGTGTGCGTGTGTGTGTGTGTGCGCGCGCACAACACGTGGGAGCGTCAATCATTGCCACCAGTAGACATGACGGCGAATGTGATGGAACAATATCTGCCTATCTGGCGTCACGTAGAACGTAAACTGATTACTAACTGGCAGCTTACCAATACTACCTCGCATACCACCTCAGTGCATCAAGTCTGCCAGAACGAGACCCTCACTATGAATGAAGGAAAGAAGTGTACATGTCTGTTAGATCTCATTAATATTACTACGAATGATAACAGGCTAGAAAACCGAAGAAATGCTAGGGGATGTTATTTGTGGCAATTATAATTTAATTCTGAAAAAGAAGTCAAGAGGACGCAAACATAAGTTCCCATTGGCAGGTTCATATTCTTGGTCAGTTGACAGCTTGTGAGAATATCACGCGCCCCATGACGCCCGCATGCAAAAAAAGAGGGCTTCACACTCGCGGTAGATTAGTTTTAGCTGAGCCCACAACTGTGTCTGGACAGTTGGAGCTGTTCCCGTCGCCTTAGTTCTGTTGGTAGGGCCTCGGAAACGTTTTTTGATGTTCGCGGGTTAGGTCCCTGCCAGCGGCAAGTTATCTTTTCGCTCACTTTATTTTCTTCGCATTTACACAATAATTACTGCCAATCACATCTTCTATAACTTTCTTGGCTTTCTTGCTTATCACCATCGATGTTGTGCTTCACAGAAAAAGAAACTATCCCTTAGAATTCCACTACTAACAAAAGCAGCAGTAGTACTAGTATTGCTACGCGTACTACTATATCACGACGATGACGGCACATTGTAGACTAGGACGGCTTCAATGTAAAAATGCAAGACAGGTAATGACTTTCTACCACGACACGTTTTGCGCAGCTTAATTTTCAATCACAAGATACATTCACCAGTTGCACGCCGTTCATTCATATTGTACGCCTGCATTGGCAGATGGTTCGCGCTTTCCCAAAGTGGAGTTTCACAAACGCGAAGAATACACGGCGCCACTCACATGTTTCGCCCACTTGACACGTGTTTGCAGATCGTACTCATCTAAATGCAGCCGCCTTGGCCCAAAAACGAAACCGTGTTCTGGCAATTAAGAGAACGTCGTAGATAGTGGCCCACTGTAGGCGGGTGCCAATTTTTTGAATGACCATCAGGAAATAATCATACATTACTGGGCTTAAAACTCAAATGAATGCTTTGCACTTGGTAAACAAGTAAATATCAACGACGCATCATTTTGGCGCCCCAGAACTAGAAACACGTTCATATTGATTGATTTGTGGGGTTTAACGTCCCAAAACTACATCTTGATTATGAGAGACGCCGTAGTGGAGGGCTCCGGTAATTTTGACCATCTGGGGTTCTTTAACGTGCACCCAAATCTGAGTACACGGGCCTACAACATTTCCGCCTCCATCGGAAATGCAGCCACCGCAGCCGGAAATCGAACCCGCGACCTGCGGGTCAGCAGCCGAGTACCTTATCCACTAGACCACCGCGGCGGGGCGAAACACGTTCATAGTATACTCACTCTGGCGAGACTTACCTGGCATAGTTTTGCTAGCACGGGATGAAGCGGACCACTGTGGTTGGCCACGTATTCGGCGGCACCTGGAGTCAGGTTGTCGGGCTTCACGAAGTGACCGCGCCCGCTGGTTGCCCACATCATAGAGTGGCGGATAAATGACTGAAGACCGCGGTCGCGACACGCTGAAGTGTCGGTGTAACAACGACGGCCGAGCAGGCAGCGAACAGCAAACCAACGCGGTGCCGAAACAGCTAAGGGAACTCGCATCGGCGCAGTCTAATCACAGCCGACGGACCCGGCGAGGTCACAGCCGACCGGCCCAGCAAGCACGTGAAACAATCGAGGCGGAGGGATAAACATTACAACGTAAACGCCGACTCTCGTTGCGGTTGCCCAAGTCGTGACGTTGCTTCCCCACGCGGCATTTCTGACCTTGTCGGCGGGGGCCGGCACTGAAGCCAGTTGCTATCGCAGAACGATTGGTTTCCATGGACACCATTGCGACTTCGCCTGCGTCTCCTTGGCTTGTGTTGTTTTGTCGCCTAAATGAAATGAACTCTTACTCACAAAGGGATTGGCCGCTCTGTCAATCATAAAAGAAAATATCAACGTTACGCCACATTAAAAAAAACAAAGACATGGTTGAAATGAAATGCATGTAAAACTGTTAAAAAAATAAAAGAATGGAAAAATTCACAGATGAAAGAAGAAGAAAAAAACATTGTTGCCATTGGTTGGTCACACTAGCCACGTAACATTCCAGTTGTTTGAACTAATTTAGGAAGATCGCTGGTGCATCGCAGAAATTTGTTAAAGGTTCAAAGAGATTTGAGGGCTCAAATCAACCTTTACTTTTATTTTTCTACCCTTCCGGATAGCTCTTTTTATTCAAATTCTCCGCTACATTGCTTATACTCCATTATACTCTATTCATAAATATTTGTCCCATCTTCTTATTCATTTTTGAACATACCGAATTCAACTAGTCATCAAAGAACTCTCCTATACAAACCATTTGAGTGTCGGCAAATTGCACAACGTGGGTGTGTGCCATAGATTCAAGGATCTACTTTATTATATTCTATGTGGCAAAGTTTGAACAGCACTGCGCTCCGCCGCGGTAGTCTAGTGGCTAAGATACTTGGCTGCTGACCCCAGGTCGCGGGATCGAATCCCGGCTGCGGCGGCTGCATTTCCGATGGAGGCGGTAATGTTGTAGGCCCGTGTACTCAAATTTGGGTGTACGTTAAAGAACACCCAGTGGTCGAAATTTCCGGAGCCCTCCACTGCGGCGTCTCTCATAATCATATGGTGGCTTTGGGACGTTAAACCCTACATACCCATCTGGAACAGCACTGCCACTTGCACCGAAGTGACCGGCTCCAAAAATAGCAGGTTAGTGGTAGTAAACGTAAATTCTAGATGATGGCGAAAGCGTCGACGCAGACTGTCTGTTTCTTCCCTCCACTTGACAAAGTGGCAAACACTTAGGTGTGGTTAATCAACTATGCACACAATGTATGCACCAAGTAAACAGAACTTTAAACATGCCTTAACAACGAAGCATTTCGACTATATTATTGTCCTTGAGAGCCTTCACTAATACTTCCGAAACGTGAGAAGCACAGGCGATGCTTCTCCAGAGGCCGGGAGTGTCTGTTGATTAAAGAGGCTCATACATCGAATTTCTTCCGATGCACGTGCAGAGGAGCGTGCCCATAACACGTGCCTTTTGACACTTCGTATGCATGCTTCCGCAGCCTGTCCCGGGTCTTTTAAAGGCCAACTCTGGCAATTTGTTGACCAATGGTGGTTCTGTGTTCTTGAGACACTCTTGTCACGCACCCGATAGCTGAAATACTCAGCAAGTTTGAGAATGATTTTTAATAACCAAAAAGGCGCAATACCGAAACCAAAACCCAACCGAGCGCACAGTCTACAATGACGTAACGTTTGGTAGGAACATAAAACCGGATGACGTACGAGGCAGGCTAGCCCTGCCGGCGCGGTGTATGAAAACTGTGAATGCCAGGCCAAGCAGAGGCTCGTAGTTTAGCTCGGAGCTTAGCTCGGAGCAGAGGTGAACGCGCCGAGCGTCAATTGACATGTCGGAGACTGACAGTGTATCAGAGCTGTCCAACAGTGACGATTGCACTGATCCACTTCTCACGGAGGGGACTGTTACGTGAAAAGTCGTCATAGCAAACACACTGTGTCTTGTGTCAGTGGTTTGTGCAGCCCACAAAGCAACACCAACTACTACTCATCGCACACTCATCCACAGGGAACAGAAAATCGCGCATCAAACCAGCGAAACGCCGGCCAATAACAACGAAGTAAGGTTTGACCTTCCACGATATAACAAATCACTACCGCCTACAGCACACTATATACCCCCCCCCCCCTTACATCATGGAGCTTCGCGCTACCATGAAATACTATGGCGCCAGTTACAGACCCGTACGTTTCCTACCCCATCTTTTCGCCATCTTATACACCCTGCGATATACCCCTCCCCTTTGTGCATTTTCTGTCAACAAAGAGCTAACCTAGACCATATCATGTGGGGGTGTACTCGAAATCCACCACCAAATTCTATACACATTAATAGTAAGGAGCAGTGGGAGGCTGCTATGTGCAGCTCGGCGCCCGAGGTCCAGGACCAGATCTTGGATTGGGCCAAGAGGGTAGTGGTGGTGGTAGTGGTTAGAAGGAAGAGGAAAAAGGCACCTAATTTCTGTCTGCCTTCAAGCGACACGGCGCAGTGCCTTATAGGGGTGGAGGGGAAGGAGGTATAAAAAGAATAGAAGGAAAATAGATGAAGAAATAGACAGGCAAGCAGCGGAAAAAAGAAGGAGATAGGAAAGTGGGGATCCGGTCGAAGCAGTCCGAGGGCGGGGCGCCACAATGCGAGAGCCAAGAGGGTAACGGAGACGTATACGCTGGGTAGGCTCCTCTGACACTCCACCACCGCACCTTTCCCTCTTGGGATGAATAAAGTTTTTCTCCTCCTCCTCCACGAAGTAAGGAAGAACACCACCGAACGCCGCCGTCGTTGCCTTGTGGCCAGCACAGTAAACGCTGCAGCAGCCAAAGTTAGCGATGCCACCGCCTGCGTCACTTCCGTTGACATGCCAAACGTGACGACACGCAGACAGTGTTGCCGATAATTCTGGAAAACCAGGTGAGCCGTTTCGAGGCTGTCTTCAAAATTCATTTGCAAACAATCAAATCATACCTCAAGCCTGTAATTTAGCACAAATTACGGTAATGGGCAAAGGAACGTACCCAGCGAATTTCACTGAGAACCACTGGCCTCAAAAAATGTCGCCGGAATCGGCCTTTAAATGAACATTCGCTTTCTTTTCTTGTTGTTCGCGCTTCCTCCACAAACCACTTTTTTAATTAGTTTGGCCATTAAAGTGTTTTTTTCAGAGGCAAAACAGCTAATGAACGAGGCCTCTGCTTTGTCGCACTGTAGCCGCCGCTGACGATGGCGATGAAAAACAAGCGCGTTCCAGATCACGCGTTCCAGACCACACAATTCCTCTCTGTCATCACGGCGCAGCACATGCAAGGTACCCACTATACATCATTACGATGGCGATGACGCCGATGTCCATGAAGATCACGATGATGATCATAGAATACGACTAAATAAACACTGCATATAACTGCTCACCACTTGACACTCATTTAGATGCGGGTGGTCAATGTCACGGGTCATTTACGGTAACCCCAAACGATTCAATTGCTTCACCTACTCAAAATTATTGACTTTCCGGAATTTTCTTAACACGAAAGTGTTTTATGCCGGGGTCCACCACTGACATATCTCCGTCACGGAAGTGACTTTGGAAAATATATACTAAGACATTGCAAAGAAGAAAAAAAAACAGAAGGTCCGCATCTCTTGCGCGTAATATCACCAATATCCTCTCGGATCACTGCGTGCGAAGCTAACCACGACGCCACAGAGCGTACGATGCCTGGAGTGCTAACGGCGAGCTCTCTATATACACCATAGACTGTTCGGCACTCCTCAGAGCTTCGAAACTTTAGCGCGTGAGTTTTCGTTATCAGTGGTGAGACGCGCGACCATCGCGCGTTAAGAAGTGTATACGGCACGCTCTAAAAATCGCCGCCTCCACGGAGCGTAGTCTCTCCGGCGCGCGAGCTTATCAGATTCGTAGTTCGAGAGAGGACAAAGGTCACTTCGCACGCTGCCATGGCCGCGTTGACAAAAGGAGCGTGCTGCTGACACACGACGCAGGAATAATTGTGATAGTCGTTTGCGCTTGTATTTTGTATACTTGTGCGCTCGTTTCGTGCGTCCTTCTTCCATTTTGAACAGCGCGCTTTAAGTGACGAGCTGTGATAGTTATTAGTCCACGCTCGTCCTGTGTATGCTGATTTCGTGCGTGCTTGCTCCTTGAGGTGTGCGCTGCAAGTTTCGAGCTGCTTGCCGTTCCTAACGTGACTTTGTACTTTGTTGCTCTTTCTAAAAAATGCACAATAAACGGTCAACTACCTCTGTAAAGATACGTTTCACTTTCGTGTTACACCGATTCCTATATAAGGGGATCAGTTCGGTTATTTTTCCAAGAAAATAGGTACCGAGAGCGTGCCATGCAGTGGAAGGTCTGCACCTTTCACTGGCACGCTGAAAACAGCGGGGACAAAATTCATTATAATATACGCAAATGGTATTTAGTATTGTCGACGTGGTTAATTAACATATACGGCCATAGCATACCGTTTAACTACATAATATGAAATCGTTTAGCCACAACTGAGCAACAAGACCTTTTTCTGTGAACTAATTGAATTTGAGGGAGGTAAAGTGTATATTATCGATACCAAATGAGAGTGCGAATGGGTGCCCACGGGAAATCACAGGTTTTGCGACCTCTGTTGACTAATCCCAAAGCCAAAGCGACATATAGTGTACGCTCATGCCAATATTGTCTTCTTCACTGCGCTCGCATGAAAGGAGGAAGAAGCAGAACGCAATGGAGCAAAGTCGTGTGTCTACGCAGCGCATCAACGACGTCGAGCCTCCCGTGACCTTCGGTCATGAGGTCGACCCGAGGTACGTCGCTGGAAAACAGATCATCCGCTTTCGGGCCTCGAAAACAGTGTTTGTTAGAACGTTCGCCCGAACATTTTCTTGAGAGTAAGGCAGATGGTGCGCAGCTCAAAGATAGCGCGTAGGTCGTATACTTTCAGCTAAAGTTTTTTCGCGTGTCATTTGAGCCCAATTACCTTGGCTGAGCCAAGCAGTGAGGTTGCGAAGGAAGCTGCGGAGACAGCTAACGCTAC